CCCAAGCTTGACTGCGCCGAGCTTGGGAAACCTCTGATTCCCCAAGCTTGGGAACCCAAGCTCCCCCCAGCTTGACTGAGCCAAGCTTGTACACCACAGGTTCCCCAAGCGTGGCAAACCCAAGCTTCCCCCAGCTTCACTGAGCCAAGCTTGGGAAACCCCTGACCCCCCAAGCTTGGGAAACTCAGGTCCCCCAAGCTTGGGAAACCCAAGGTTCCCCCAGTTTGACTGAGCCAAGCTTGGGAAACCCAAGGTTCCCCAAGCTTGGGAAACCCAAGCTTCCCCAAGCTTGACTGAGCCAAGCTTGGGACGCACTAGGTTCCCCAAGCTTGGGAAACCCAAGCTTCCACCAGCTTGACTGCGCCAAGCTTGGGAAACCTCTGGTTCCCCAAGCTTGGGGAACCCAAGCTTCCGCAAGCTTGACTGGGACATCCTTGGAAACCTCTGGTTCCCAAGCTTGGGAAACCTCTGGTTCCCAAGCTTGAGAAACCCCATATAAGGAATCCAATGTAGAGAAGCCCCACATAGGGAATGCCCATATGGGGAAACCCCTATGGGGATTCCCCGCGTAAGGAACCCTAATATGGGAAATCCCCAGATGGGGATCCCTCATAAGGGGGGTCCTCGTATGGGAATACCCCGTACGGTGCGTCGCATATACGGAATCTTCGTGTGGGAAAACCCCATATAAGGAATCCCTATATGGGGTCTCCTCATGTTGGGGGATCACCATGTTAGGAATCACCATTTCAAGAACCTCCATGTGAGGAATCCCCATGTAGGGAATCGCTTATTTGAGGATTTCCTATATTAGAACTCCGTATATTAAGGCCCCCATACATGGGGTTCCTTGTATGGGGATTCCTTGCATGGGGACTCTCTATATGAAAGGGGTTTCCAACATTGGGATTCCGTACATGGCGATTTCCCGTATGGGTATTCCCCATATGGCGATTCCCTATGTTGGGTTTCCAAATGGGGATTGCCCATACGGGAACTCGCCATGGCAGCCCCCGGAACTCTCACAACTCCCGTAGTCCTGACAGCCGCTGCCCCTTGACTCAAACGCAAAGCGCTGGCGCGGACAGGAACCGTATTCTTTTCAAACGACGGGGGCCAGCGCAGCGCGCCCTTACCCCTTGACTCAATCGCAAATCGCGCGCGCGGACAGGGACCGTTTTTTCTCCAAATGACGGGGGCCAGCGCAGCGCGCCCGTGCCGCTCCACTCAAACGCAAAGCGCGTGCGCGGGCAGGATTCTTTTCCAAATGAACGGGGGCCGCAATGACGCGACTCGACGGCGTGGCGTTGAGCTCGACTGGCAGCCCGCTCCGCGCAGACCCGCTGCCCACGCGCCCTGCCGCCCCCGCGCCCCGAACAAACACCACAGGCCCAAGAGCTTCGTAAGATGTCGCCCTGGACCCCGCGACCGCCGCGCGTGCCTATCGGGGCAGTCGCCGCCAGCGCCGCTACCAACGCAAGGATTCTCGCCCAAGCGGCCCTCGCCCACGGGGCCCTCGCCCACGCTGCAACGAAGAATTGAGCCTGGAGCCAAAATGGCAACGAGCCAAAATGGCGACGAGGGAGGAGGAGGAGAGGAGGAGGAGGGGAAGGAGGCGGAGGAGGAGGAGGGAGAAGCGCGGGTGCGGGACAAGAGAAACCCAAACACGGAGAAACTTGCCTGCAAAACCTCCTCCTGCTCCTGCTGTCGAACAACGGCGGCCGCAACTGCAGCGGCGATGGCGCCCCGCCGGACCAGTGCTGGCACGAAGCGCGCGCCTGTCGCCATCTCCTCGTCCTTCTCCGCCTCCTCGTCCTCCTCCCCCTCCGCCTCCTCCTCAGGGGTCCTGGTGTTTCCTGGTCCCTCCTGGGCTCAGGGGTCCTGGTGCTTCCTGGTCCCTCCTGGTCCCTCCTGGTCCCTCCTGGTCCCTCCTGGTCCCTCCTAGTCCCTCCTGGTCCCTCCTGGTCCCTCCTGGTCTCTCCTGGTTCCTTCTGGTCCCTCCTGGTCCCTCCTGGTCCCTCCTGGTCCCTCCTGGGCTCAGGGGTCCTGGTCCCTCCTGGCCCCTCCTGGCCCCTGACCCACAACCCAGGCACTTATGTTATCATATGTTTTGGGTTATGTTTGCGTTGGCACTTCTTCTGTTTTGTACTACTTGTTTTGTTTTTTTTCGGCTCTCTGCCCTGCCGGACAGCTGAGTACCCAGTGTGCGGCTGATGACACAGAGCGGTCGGCGCACGGCTCGCGCAGCTGGCACGGTACGTATAAAGCAAATCGCGCACCATCTTTGTGTGCGACGCATGTCTATGTAGCGAATCTCTCTCTCCACGCACTTCACATGTTCTGGATGACAGCCAGGGCGCCAGATGCGCCCAGACCACGCGCCAAACGCGCGCCAACATGAAAGTAATGTACTCATGGAAGTGCCATTTCTTCTTGATGTGTCTGGGATCCCATGCATTTTTCCTCACGGTAACTTCAGGTCTGGGGCGCCCGCAGCAACTCACTCGTCAGGGACGGGAATGCGATCTCTCGTGCTCTTGTCCTCTCTGTTCCAGAACACGATGGCCTCCCGGTACCCGGCCTTCCTGCTCTTCACCCAATCCTCGCCAATGCCGAGGCCCCTCACGCCGAGCCTCTTGATCTTGGCCTTTATCTTCGGGCCCCACACGGCCAAGCGACTCACCACCTGCACTCCCGCCGGAACCCCACCGCTTGAGCCCCACCGCTTGAGCGTCCGGCCGCGCGGCTTCGGCGCTGCCTTCTTCAAGTGCTTCTTGGCGACTCCGCGCTGGCGGCAGGGACGAGAGGGAGCGCCGGCGCTCGCTGCCATCGCTGAGACAAGCGCCGGCGCCGGTGCCTCTGGCGGCTGCTCCTCGCCCGGGTGGTCATCGGCTGCATCCGTCAGCGCCTGCCGTTCCAAGTCCTGCAGCGCCGCCTGCTCCGCTTCTTGGGCCCCGCCCAGCAGTGCCGGCCCCTCCGCGTCCAGCTCCTCGTCGGAAACGAGCCACGGATCACCCATTCCGCTGGAGGAGGCCGGTGCTCGCGCCTGCGGGGCGACGCGGCGTGGCGGCGGAGCCCGGGTCGGGCGAAAGGGGGGGATAGCAAAGGGGGGGTTTGAGAATCAGCTCACGTAGCTGATTTTCCCGGCGCCTCCCGGCGCCGGAGGCGGCTATGTATCGAGGAATGGGCCCCTCGGTGAGGCCGAAACCAGCTGCATGCAGCAAATTTCGTAACCCCCCCTTTCCCAATCCCACCCTTTCGCCCGGCCCGAGGCTGGCGCTCTGCTGCTCGCCTCCTCGGGGGCCGCCGGGCCCTTGAGCCGCGACGGCGAGAATGATGATGGCAATGCTTATGATGATGGCGATGGTGATGACGGTTCTGGTGTTCATGGCGGCGGTCAGTGCTCTGGCAGTGTCGCAACGAGGAAGTTCGAGTCGTCGTTGCGCGGGCACAACGACGACGTGCTCGAGGGGTCGGCCCCGGGGCCGGTGGCTTGCCTGAGGGCGCTGACCCACAACCCAAGCCTCAGGTCTCTGACCCGCAACACAGGCATCCGAAGTGTCCATGACACACAACCCAGGCAAGGCGGCGAGCCTCAGACGACATGCGTCCGAAGTGTGTCTGACCCACAACACAGGCATCCGAAGTGTGTATGACCCACAGCCCAGGCATCCGAAGTGTGTATGACCCACAGCCCAGGCATCCGATACGTCTCATAACCACAACCCAGGCACTTGTGCATGCATATTTTGTGTTGTTTTTTTTTTGTTTTGGTGTTGCTTGTTATGTCATTCGGCCATTGGGGCTCCTGGGGGGTGGCGCTTGGGACCACACGAGGATCCGCCACTTACGCCACCCCCAGGATGCCCCAGTCCTCGTCGCGAGATGTTGTTCCCTGACGCACAACCCAGGCATCAAGGGTGTCCCTCACACGCCACCCAGGCACGGTGGCGAGCCCGAGGTCCCTAACGCACAACCCTGGCGTCAGAGAAGTGTCATAACCACAGCCCAAGCACTTGTGTTTTCATATTTCTTGGGCGCTATTTTGTCCTCGTTGTTATGTCATCAGGTCCCTGACGCACAACCCGGGCACCCGAGATGTCTCTGACACACAACCCAAGCACGGCGGCCAGCCTGAGGTCTGTGACGCACAACCCAAGCATCCGATAATGCTCATAACCACAACCCAAGCACTTCTGTTTCCATGTCTTTTTGGATATTTGTTGTTGTCATTTGTTATGTCGTGAAGTCCCTGACGCACAACACAGGCATCCGGTATGTCTCTAACGCACAACCCAAGCAAGGTGGCGAGCCAGAGGTCCCTAACGCACAACCCTGGCACCCTCGAGACCTCCAAACCACAACCCAGGCACGTGTGTTTATATATATGTTTTGTTCTTTTTTGTTGTCATGTGTTATGTCATTAAGTCCCTGACGAACAACCCAGGCATCCGATATGTCTCTGACCCACAACCCAGGCACGGTGTCGACCCTTCTGGGGCTCCTTGGGGGTGGCGCTTGGCCTGAGGGCGCTGACCCACAACCCAAGTCCCAGGTCTCTGACCCACAACACAGGCATCCGAAGTGTCTAGGAGACACAACCCAGGCAAGGTGGCGATCCTCAGACGACATGCGTCCGAAGTGTGTCTGACCCACAACCCAGGCATCCGAAGTGTGTGCGACCCACAACCCAGGCATCCGACAAGTGTCAGGACCACAACCAGGGCACTTCAGTTTTGATATTGTCTTGTTCTTTTGGTGCTGCCGGACAGCTCCGCACCCAATGCGCGGCGGCACATCGACGACGTGCTCGGGAGGTCGGCCCCAGAGCCGTTGGCTAGCCTGAGGGCTCTGGCACAAAACCGAAGCCTGAAGTCTCTGACCCACAACCGACGCATCCGCAGTGTCTGTGACCCACAACCCAGGCACGGCTGTTTTCATATGTTTCTCTTCTCTTTCGTTGTGTTTGTTGTTTCGTTGTGGTGTCATTATTCTGTTTTGTTGTTTCTTCTTTTTTCGGCCGCCTACCCTGCCGGACAGCTCAGTGCCCAATGTGCGGACATTCGGGCGGCGAGCTGCAAGCACTAGCACTACCCCGCAGTGACTGCGGCAGGGATGGCAGGCGGCCACTCGTGCACGCCCTCTGGGTACGCCTCTGGCCCAAGCCACGTGCTAAGCAAAATGATCGCGTACACGAACGCTTTCGGAGCCACCATGCCGCACGTCTCCAGCAGGGCGGGAGGCTGCCACCGTCTGCGGAACAGGTCCGCGCCGCCAGGGGCGCACTGGTTGATGAGCCGGTGCAGGGCGGCGGCGGCGTCCGCCGCTCCTCCCCGGCCGCCCTCCGTCGCCCAGGCCTGGCCGAAGAGAGTCCACTCGAACTCCCTCGTGGTGGACGGTTTCCCCCGGGGCCGTAGGCGACTTAGGAGGCTCCCCAGGGTTGGTTTTAAAGCTCGGGCCCGACAACGGGCCCCTGAGGCCAAACTCGAAGAAAAACCTTCGAGGATAGGAGGTCCACGAAAAACTCCACGAAGAAACGGCGAAAAGTCCAGGAGGAGGAGGAGGAGGAGGACGGGGTCGCCGAAGCCCTTCCGAGAAACCGTCCAAACCTCGTGCACAACACGCGTGTCCGTGTCGTTGATTGGGTTCGGCGTGCACAACACGCCGAACCCAATCAACGAGGACATGCGCTGGAGCTGGCTGCGTTCCTGCGGGTCGTCCGACCGCCGCCTCCTCTGCTGCCGGTCCTCCGCGCCCGCCCCTGCTGGGGTCAGGCGCCCAGCCTTGCTCTTGCCGGCCCACTCCGCGTAGACCCGCTTCAGCCGGCACGCCACGGCATTGGAGGGCGTCAGGTTGAACATGTTGGTGGCGAGGGCACCCCACGGCATGCGAGTGTAGTGGATGCCAGCTCCTGCTTGCTCCTCGACCCAAGCGCCAATGCGCGCGCCCATCTCCAGCCTCGTGCTGATCGGCAACGCGGACGACCGCCCTTGCCGCCCAGCTCGTCGCCGAGCCCGAGGCTCGGGCGCAGCCTGCTCCAGACTGCCGCGAAACAGGGCGGCCTGATCGTTAAAGGTTCAACGTTTGGCGCTTGCCACAACGGCGAACCCTTCAAACTGCAATGATTCACCCTCGTGACAACGGCCAATCGTTGAACCTTAAACTTTCGGGCAACCTTGCGTCGAGCACGTCTTCGTCGTCTCCGTCCTCGTCGTCGTCGTCGTCGTCGTCGTCGTCGTCGCCGTCGTCGGCGACTCCAAAGGAGACGACGACGTCGCCGACGACGACGACGACGGAAACGACGAGGCCGAGGACGAGGACGACGACGACGACGACGGCGCCTGCGCCGCCAGCGCGGCCAAGTAAGCCATGCCAGCGCGGCGCTGCGAAGCGCCTCTGTCGGCGCGGGAGGCGGAGGCGCCGCGGGGCAGCCCCTCGGCGGCCGCCGCCGGAGGCGCCGCGGGGCATCCGCTCGGCGGCCGCCGCCGGAGGCGCCGCGGGGCAGCCGCCGCTGGAGGCGCCGCGGGGCGAGCCGCCGCTGGAGGCGCCGCGGGGCGAGCCGCTTGGCAGCTAAGCCGAAAAAAGGCTACAAATGTACTGGCGTTGACGCAGGCCCCACAACCCAGGCATCCGACGTGTGTATGACCCACAACCCAGGCATCCGAAATGTGTGTGACCCACAACCCAGGCAATGTGGCGACCCTCAGGCCACATGCATCCGCTGTGTGTCTGACCCACAACCCAGGCATCCGAAGTGTGTATGACCCACAGCCCAGGCATCCGAAACGTCTCATAACCACAACTCAGGCACTTGTGTTTCCATATTTTGTGTTGCTCTTTTTTTGTTGTTGCTTGTTATGTCATTCCGCCATTGGGGCTCCTGGGGGGTGGCGCTTGGGACCACACGAGGATCCGCCACTTACGCCACCCCCAGGATGCCCCAGTCCTCGTCGCGGCGCCGACGGGGTGGCGCTCGGGACCACACGAGGATCCGCCACTTACGCCACCCTCGGCGCCGCTTTTGGGGTTCCTTGGGGGTGGCGCTTGGGACCACGCGAGGATCGGCCACTTACGCGCAAACCAGGCGTCCGAGAAGTGTCATAACCACAACTCAAGCACTTGTGTTTGCATATTTTTTGGGCGCTGTTTTGTCGTCATTGTTATGTCATTAGGTCCCTGACGCACAACCCGGGCATCCGAGATGTCTCTGACACACAGCCCAGGCACTTACGGCAAGCCTGAGGTCTGTGACGCACAACCCAGGCATCATAAATGTCCCTAACACGCCACCCAGGGGCGCTGGCGAACCTGAGGTCCCCAACGCACAACCCAGGCGGCCGAGAAATGTCATAACCACAACCCAAGCACTTGTGTTTTCATATTTTTTTGGGCGCTACTTTGTCGTCATTGTTATGTCAGTAGGTCCCTGACACACAACCTGGGCATCCGAAATGTTTCTGACACACAACCCAGGCACGGCGGCAAGCCTGAGGTCCGCGACGCGCAACCCAGGCATCCGAAGTGTGTATGACCCACAGCCCAGGCATCCGATACGTCTCATAACCACAACCCAGGCACTTGTGTTTCCATATGTTGTGGTGCTCTTTTTTTTGTTGCTTGTTATGCCTTTAGGCCATTGGGACTCCTGGGGGGTGGCGCTTGGGACCACACGAGGATCCGCCACTTACGCCACCCCCAGGATGCCCCAGTCCTCGTCGCGAGATGTGGTTCCCCGACGCACAACCCAGGCATCAAGGGTGTCCCTCACACGCCACCCAGGCACGGTGGCGAGCCTGAGGTCCCTAACGCACAACCCAGGCGTCCGAGAAGTGTCATAACCACAACCAAAGCACCTGTGTTTTCTTTTTTTTTGGGGCGCTATTTTGCCATCGTTATTATGTGAGTAGGTCCCTGACGCACAACCTGGGCATCCGAGGTGTCTCTGACACGCGACCCAGGCACGGCGGCAAGCCTCAGGTCCGTGACGCACAACCCAGGCATCCGAAGTGTGTATGACCCACAGCCCAGGCATCCGATACGTCTCATAACCACAACCCAGGCACTTGTGTTTTCATATTTTGTGTTGCTCTTTTTGTTGTTGTTGTTTGTTATGCCTTTAGGCCATTGGGGCTCCTGGGGTGTGGCGCTTGGGGCCACACGAGGATCCACCACTCACGCCACCCCCAGGATGCCCCAGTCCTCGTCGCGAGCTGCAGTTCCCTGACGCACAACCCAGGCATCAAGGGGGCCCCTCACACGCCACCCAGGCACGGTGGCGAGCCTGAGGTCCCTAACGCACAACCCCGGCGTCCGAGAAGTGTCATAACCACAACCAAAGCACTTGTGTTTTCATATTTGTGGGGCGCTATTTTGTCGTCGTTGTTATGTCATTAGGTCCCTGACGCACAACCTGGGCGCCCGAGATGTCTCTGACACACAACCCAGGCACGGCGGCAAGCCTGAGGTCTGCGACGCACAACCCAGGCATCCGAGAATTCTCAGAACCACAACCCAGGCACTTGTGTTTCCATGTCTTTTGTGATATTTGTTGTTTTCATGTGTAATGTCATTAAGTCCCTGAGGCACAACAAAGGCATCCGGTATGTCGGCAACACACAACCCAAGCACGGTGGCGAGCCAGAGGTCCCTAACGCACAACCCTGGCATCCGAGATATCCCAGAACCACAACCCAGGCACTTGTGTTTATATATGTTTTGTTCTTCGTTGTTGTCATGTGTTATGTCATTAAGTCCCTGGCGATCAACCCAGGCATCCGATATGTCTCTGACCCACAACCCAGGCACGGTGTCGACCCTGAGGTCCCTGACGTGCAACCCAGGCATCCGAGATGTCTCTGACCCACAACCGAGGCATGGTGGCGAGCCTGAGATCCCGAACTCGCCGCCCAAGCATCCGAAATGCCTCCGACCCACAACCCAAGCCGGTTTGCGGTCTGATCCCTCCTGGGCTCAGGGGTCCTGGTGCCTCCTGGTCCCTCCTGGTTCCTCCTGGTCTCTCTTGTTCCCTCCTGGTCCCTCCTGGGCTCAGGGGTCCTGGTCCCTCCTGGTCTCTCCTGGTCCCTCCTGGTCCCTCCTAGTCCCTCCTGGTCCCTCCTGGACCCTCCTGGTCTCTCCTGGTCCCTCCTGGTCCCTCCTGGTCCCGCCTGGTCCCTCCTGGTCCCTCCTGGGCTCAGGGGTCCTGGTCCCTCCTGGTCCCTCCAGGTCCCTCCTGGTCCCTCCTCGCCCCTCCTGGTCCCTCCTAGTTCCTCCTGGCCCCTCCTGGTCCATCCTGGTCTCTCCTGGTCCCTCCTGGTCCGTCCTGGTCCGTCCTGGTCCCTCCTGGTCCCTCCTGGTCTCAGGGGCCCTGGCCCCTCGTGGCCCCTCCTGGTCCCTGATCCACAACCCAGGCAATTATGTTTACATTTTTTTTTGGTTCTGTTGGCGTTGGCACTTCTTCTGTTTTGGAATTCTTTTTTTTTTTTTTTTGTTCGGCCGTCTGCCCTGCCGGACAGCTGAGTGCCCAGTGCGCGGCTGACGGCACAGAGCGGTCGGCGCACGGGTCGCGCACCTGGCACGGTACGTATGTAGCAAATCGCGCACAATCAAAGTGTGAGACATATGTCTATGTAGCGAATGTCTCTCCACGCACTTCACATGTTCTGGATGGCAGCAGGCTTGGCGACGAAGACTGCCCCGCGCATCACCGCCTTCACGTTCACGAACGCGGGCACCAGGATCGTCACCGTTGGGGTTTTATCTTTCCCACGCTGCTTGCGCCCATCCTGCTTGAACTCGCAGGAGATCTCTTGCGTCAGGCACCTCGCCTCCAAGTTCCCCACCGTGGTGTCGGCCGCCGTCGCCTCCAAGACCGCCCAGAAGGGCGACACCCCTAGGGCCTTGCCTGGCTTGAACTGGGCGAGGGGGCTCTGGATGATGTATTTCGATAGGTCGTCGCAGATGTCGTAGGCTCCGATTTCTGTCGTTACCAAGTAGGGGTGCTGCGGATGATGCGATTTTGGCCTCCTCATCTTGGCCCCCTCCGAGAAGTCGTGCACAGGTCCGTGCGGAATCAACGCCACCTCGCCGACTGCGAAATCTTTCGCGGCCCTCGCCTGAAACACACACGGGTTTGAGGACTCCATGCTGTGGGCCGTGATATTGGCAGCGCACCCGCTGTGTTTGACCTGCAGCTGCTGCAGGGCCGTCTGCATCCAGCGTCCAGCTCCTCGTCGGAAACGAGCCACGGATCACCCATTCCGCTGGAGGAGGCCGGTGCTCGCGCCTGCGGGGCGACGCGGCGTGGCGGCGGAGCCCGGGTCGGGCGAAAGGGGGGGATAGCAAAGGGGGGGTTTGAGAATCAGCTCACGTAGCTGATTTTCCCGGCGCCTCCCGGCGCCGGAGGCGGCTATGCATCGAGGAATGGGCCCCTCGGTGAGGCCGAAACCAGCTGCATGCAGCAAATTTCGTAACCCCCCCTTTCCCAATCCCACCCTTTCGCCCGGCCCGAGGCTGGCGCTCTGCTGCTCGCCTCCTCGGGGGCCGCCGGGCCCTTGAGCCGCGACGGCGAGAATGATGATGGCAATGCTTATGATGATGGCGATGGTGATGACGGTTCTGGTGTTCATGGCGGCGGTCAGTGCTCTGGCAGTGTCGCAACGAGGAAGTTCGAGTCGTCGTTGCGCGGGCACAACGACGACGTGCTCGAGGGGTCGGCCCCGGGGCCGGTGGCTTGCCTGAGGGCGCTGACCCACAACCCAAGCCTCAGGTCTCTGACCCGCAACACAGGCATCCGAAGTGTCCATGACACACAACCCAGGCAAGGCGGCGAGCCTCAGACGACATGCGTCCGAAGTGTGTCTGACCCACAACACAGGCATCCGAAGTGTGTATGACCCACAGCCCAGGCATCCGAAGTGTGTATGACCCACAGCCCAGGCATCCGATACGTCTCATAACCACAACCCAGGCACTTGTGCATGCATATTTTGTGTTGTTTTTTTTTTGTTTTGGTGTTGCTTGTTATGTCATTCGGCCATTGGGGCTCCTGGGGGGTGGCGCTTGGGACCACACGAGGATCCGCCACTCACGCCACCCCCAGGATGCCCCAGTCCTCGTCGCGAGATGTAGTTCCCTGACGCACAACCCAGGCATCAGAGATGTCCCTAACACGCCACCCAGGCACGGTGGCGAGCCTGAGGTCCCTAACGCACAACCCAGGCGTCCGAGAAGTGTCATAACCACATCCCAAGCACTTGTGTTTTCATATTTTTTGGGCGCTATTTTGTCGTCAGTGTTATGTCATTGGGTCCCTGACGCACAACCCGGGCATCCGAGATGTCTCTGACACACAACCCAAGCACGGCGGCAACCCTGAGGTCCGCGACGCACAACCCAGGCATCCGATAATTCTCATAACCACAACCCAGGCACTTGTGTTTCCATGTGTTTTTGGATATTTGTTGTTGTCATGTGTTATGTCATTAAGTCCCTGACGCACAAAACAGGCATCCGGTATGTTTCTAGCACACAACCCAAGCACGGTGGCGAGCCAGAGGTCCCTAACGCACAACCTTGGCACCCGAGAAGTCTCAGAACCACAACCCAGGCACTTGTGTTTATTTTT